CGAGAACTCACATCTTTACATAAATGCATAATCCTCATATACGGCCGCACGCCATAGAACTCGTCGTCATATCCTGTAAGTTCGAACGTTCCTTTTCCGGACGTGATTGTCCAATTGAGACGCTGATCTTCTAACACTAAAAATAGGCTTCAGTGATGACTGCTCTCTAAACGCCAATCTAGAAGCTTCTACTGCACTTACTCTCCTTCTCCATAAGTTCGACATACACTGGTACTTCGCCATCTCTAGTATCACACGCGAAACGACCTTTTACAATGATTTCGTGAGCGCTCGCGGCTATGGTGAGAGCAAGTGCAAAGAAGGCAGCAAACAACATGCTTAATGTAAACAAATATCAGAAATCCATAAATACTTGAGAGTTTGGGAAAGTTTGTAGTTGACTTAGCATATGCTAAACCTTAGGAGGACTAAATTTAACAGGAATTGTAAACGAGAAAGATCTATGTTGCTAAGTCTGCTCCCCCATTTTTATACTATCTGCCATTTCTATGTTTTCAATGAGTCAAAAAGCTTGAAGTGCTCGAAGACAAAACAAAAACTTCTGTGACATCGTCATCCGAGCCACGATGCTTCATCTCAGGACCAGGAAAATGCACACTTCATGCTTTAGTGTTTGAATTTTGGAGTGGTAAGTCTCTTGTGCGTGGGCTTTTATAACCGGGTTCGAATCCTGCAAGAGCAGTTTGTTTTGCATTACTATTTTTTAATTGCTGAATGTGTGTAGAGCAACTTGATGCATCACTAACCTTTATTTTTACAAAAAATGTTGATTGAAAAGTTAGTTGAGCTTGATAAGTGCTCATCCGTTATCTTATTTTTCTATATTTTTTTGAAAAAAATAAAGGAGAGAGATGCATCAAGTTGCTTTACACATCTTCAGCAATTAAAATACAATAATGCAAAACAAACTGATCTCGCAGGATCCGAACCCGGTTACAAAAAAGAACTCAGCGCAAGAGACTTACCACTGCGCCATCCCATTGCTCTACGTTGCTCCTATAGTAGGTCTAGGCAAGCGTTAACAAGAAATTGAGTAGGAAAAAACGCGTGCAGCTCTTCCCAGAATGTCGTTCAGCAGATATGGAAAACAGATTTGGGATACATTTCTGATACAGATTCTTATGGTATACATCTCTTGGCGGATGGCCACTGCGACTCCGCATCCTTTCCTTTCAGTGAATTCGCCAAAATTTGTAAGTTTTATCCCACAATTTTTGAAGTAATCTTATTGAGACTACGAAATTTTCCGAGCACTTCTAAATTTTATTTATAATATTTTTTTCTGTGCTTGATCGCATCCGACTTAGGCAGTAATT